AAAACCAAACCAACCAATCAACCAAACAAAAACCCCAAAACCCAACCGAACAGACAAAACTAAAACCAACAAAAACCCCAAACCAACCAACCAACCAACCAACCAAAAAAAAGGCTTCCACCTAAGAAGAAGTTGAAAGTAGTTGTAATAATTATAATTTTTTACTCCTATTTTTATTGTTTGTAGTAGCAAAGTATATCAAGGCAAGAGCTGAGGTTAAGGACCTTAAGGTTAAGGAAGATAAAATACTCTAAAACTGGGGAAAAAAATCAGGTCAGAATAGAAAAACATTGTTCACAGGTGACAGGATTGGCACCAGATGAAACTAGCATATTCCAGACTCAACATAAATAAAACCTGATACTTCTTCAGATGTGCCATGTGTCACTGGAAGCCAGAGGACCACTATTAAGAATTGCCCCCATACAGCTGCTCTGCTGTCCTCCACCTTGTGCAGCTGCTACTCCCTGTGCTCGATGGAGCTTCAGCCTGGCCACATTCTGCTGCTCTTGTGCTCTCAGTAGAAACTAGCCCACACTTACTAACTCAGAGGACTTAATTTGCAGTATGTGAGACAGGGGTAAAATTTTATTAAGGGAGAATTGAGCAAGAGGCTGTTCTGTGACCTGTTCAATGTCACCCAAGAAATCAGTATTGCAGCTGGGAGCTGGAGTCCCCTTCAATGCCTGAATTACAGGATAATGCTTTCCTCCCCATTAGCCACCAAAAGTCTGTGAAGTAAAAAGAGAATTGAAGGCATTGAGCTACCAGGTTCAGAAGTATTTGTTTTTCCATGGAAACCTCCTCACAGCAACAGCCAAGCTTTTGCAAGGAGAGAATCACCTCTCATCGTGCAAGAGCTGGCAGGGAGCTGTTCTGTGCAAAATGCTGTAGCTGCAGCTGCCTTCTGAAGAAGTCTCATCCCACAGCCAGCCAGCATACAGCCCCGTTCCCGGCAATCCAGCTGCAATTCTGCCTGGTCAATAATTTTTCAACACGGTCATGCCAGAATCATAGCCTTGTTTTCTGTTGTCTGGCTGTTAGTGGTGATGTATGAAGAAGTAAGAAAGACAGCTTAATTTTCATAAGCTAACTTGTGCCTGAAGTAACAGAGAATGAGAGGAGTGCACTTAATCATAACTGCAGGGCCAGAACAGAAAATGATAGAGCTCTTGCTGTTAGTTATGGTATTTTATTATAATAATTCTTAGGAAGAAGAAACCGGCAGCTCAAAATGCTGAACAGTTCAAATTCGTTATGGTAGCCACCGTATTCTTATCTTCTGGAAGAATAACTCACGGAACTCTTTTATGCCTGCCTTTTCCAAAGTACATGGTGGGAAGAAACTCTAGTCTTTTTCCCCAGAAAATCTGAACTCAGACTGTGGTATGATCAGAGGTGATGAACCTGGTGATAGTGTCCACAGAACTGCAGGCTCCTTGCAGGGAAGGCATGAAAGGTGGCAGAGGGACAGGTTGGGGCTGGTGGACGGTCAGAAAGCTGTGGGCAAGGTGAGCATTCCCTGTGCCTGCTCAACACCATGCGTCACTTTAGCCGTGTTTCTGTAACTTCATAATGCATTTGAAAAAGTAAATAACTAAATGAATTAACAGGTAGTGGTCAGATACACTGGATAGATATTCTCACAATGATTCATCAATATTGAAAATATTAATTTAAGCTTTGAGTGAAGCATTTTTAGTTGGTCACAAATGAAAGGGTAAATCTTATGATTTTACTTTGTTTCAACATTTAGATACATAAAATAATGTTCTATATGATATATATTATGCATCTGCACTATGTGTCACATTGTTTTATGTGATTTAAAGTGATAAGGGTTGTGCATTTTTTATTTTGGTATCTTCAGATCAAAATATTTGGGGAAATTTGTCCAGAAAATATTTCTGATTTTCTTTTTTCTATACTGATTCAGAATGAAAACATTTTTTGTAAACATTAATATTTGCTATGCAGCTGAAGTTCTGCTTTCCCAATTACTTCTGATTTAAGTCTGGATCACAGAGACAATGTAAAGGGGAACAAAAATATGTTCTTCTTTGGCAGAGACAGCAACACTATTCCAGCCTAGAGAAAACAGAAATATAACCAGAGAAGATGCAAAGCATATCTCCATAATTTACTCCAAGGTGGCTTGGGAGACAAGTCATCACATCTGCCTTAGTAGGCTTTTATGCACCAGTAAGAGTTACAACAACCTGACAAGTTGCATAATGCCGTACCCTAGGACGGTACGTGAATTACGTGAACATGTTCACATTCCCAGGCCATTGCAAAGGCAAACTAAAGCATGTTAGCTGACACGTTTTACTTCGTATTTGTGACAAGCTAAAAGGACATGTACAGGCAGTTATTCCAGCTCAGTTGATACAGAGTAAGGCACGTTATCTGATCCATGTATCTAAGCCCTAAAGCTTACATGATATTAATTTCTGCCTTCATATCAAACCTCAAGGAATACTAGTGAAAGCATGATTTGTTCTGGTGTCTTCAAAATATAGGGAAAAAGGAGAAGAAAATTATACAGCTACAGTAAATACATGCAAACATAATTTCCTGAGCCTTTTCAGTTTATCTTGGCATGAGAAATAATAACTGAGAAATAAGTATTTCGGAGGTACATTATTAGAACTGAGATTTTGTACTGATAGGTGGGAAAGGAAAACCATTAGCAAGTAGCAAGGTTTGTTCTTTTTTTATTATTCATCAGTTTAAAGGCTGAACTCTGTGGCATGATGGGCAATTCATGGGGCTAAAATAATGAAAGCAGATTGATGCTCCATGGTAAGGAAGTTCAGTATCTGCTTCTTGCAAATGGAATTCTAACATTTCTTTTGATGTTAGCAGTGCTATCCTGAGAAGGGTCTGTGGACTGCTGAGTTGTGAAATGTGCTGTTAGATTATGGGCAGGGACACTCACTTCCTACCAGCTGTGCCAATCCATTCCAGCCCAGCTGCACCTGCATTTTTTATTGTTGGGGTTTTTTTTTAATTATTTTTAATTCTAATTCTAATTTCTAATCCTTTACTAACCATGGTAGTTTCTTATTTTGATTTATTCTACCTCAGCTTTAAGGGAGTGGTTATAAAGAACAGGCAGACTTCCAGGACAGGGTCAACAAGTGTTGGTTTAAATTGTGTCCTTCAGCATCTTTTTGCCTAAGACTTCTTTCAACCAGTTGAGATCCCTTTCATATTTCCTCACAATATACTTTGTGGTGTCTCATGCTCTCTAGTGTGTTCCATGTGTCTCACAGGTTGAGAGATGCTATAGTTTGTTTGTATGAACAAAGCATCAGTTGCTTAGGATACATTTGTCTCTATCTTGTAATTTTCTTCATTCACTTGTGCATTGCACTCTGTTAATATTATCAGTTTTCGGTAGCACTCATGGGAAGATAAATCTGTGGTGGTCTTTTATATGATCTTTTTGTTCTCCCCCAGATTTTCCACCTTCTTAAAAAATGACTTATGGAGTATAATGTGAAAAATTAAATATATATAAACATATAATATATAGTAGCAAAGAAGACACAACATTAGAAAATTAGATCTGATGAGCAGTGTCATGTTGTCATTAAGATAGAGTAGGATGATCCTGAAGTAGCGTGGAGCGGACTTGGTAATCTCTCAAGGTTATTTTTAGATTGATTTCCATTCACTCCTTGAATGCTTTCATAGTGTTTTGATTTGTTTGTTAAATGCATTGGCCAATCACTGCTGCTCACCCTCTTTAAAACAGTATTTGAGACACATGTGGGGGTTGCTGACGTTCCCCTGAATTCCAAATACCACAGGGGAGTATCACAATCACTTTTCAAGCCAATTATAAAATTGAAATAATTCTGTCTTTATGTCTTGCTTCTCAGCCCAGTCTTGTCGTGGGCCATACTGAAATTTTAGTAATACAGCTGTGGTCTTATGTGAGCAGCATATAATGATAATTTAATGCTTTCAATGCCCTGCTGTGACCATACACCCAATTTTATGAGCATAGCTGGGATTTTAAAATGGCCTTCAAAGCACGCTTTCTCAAAAGCTTGCAAAATAATTTCCAACACCAGTCTCAGTGCCCTCACTGAGCATGTCCCTCTGTCAAAATACCATACCCTTTCCTTTCTCTGACTAGATCCAAATGCAGTTTTCCCTCCATTCTCTGTCACCACAGCATCATTTCAATCACTTCTGTTATTTATGTATTATACAGCACATTTCAGGATAGATAATTAAGTCCTTATCTATACAAACATTCACTTTTCAGTTGATTTTTAAGCAGTGCAAACCTTCTAGACACATTTGATTTAAGACACATTTTACTCTAGCTGAAGCCAGCTGCTAATCAATGTAAGATAAACTGAAATAAAACTGAAATCATAATTTCCATGAAGCATTCTATGCAGGCTTACCTAAATGACTTTTAAATTGCTCTCTTAAAACAGTGCAACATTCTTATGTAGGTAAACTCATAGAATCAAATCTTTTTCTGAGCAAAAGGGATTTCCTTTGTGACTGAGAAAAAAATCCCTGAAACAAGTGGCAGGGAGCATGGGAAGAGAATAATTTGTTATACTGAGCCTTATTCTTTAATTATATTATCTCCATCAGAGTATGAACAGATCTTCATATTAGATGATCATTTTACCAACACTTACTTTTCACTAGGAGGATTCTCCATCATTGTATTCCAAAATCAAGCAGCATTCAGATTTGTCTGAATTTGTCTGTGATACATTTCTGTCAGCGTGACAAGGGTTCCCACAGTGTTTAATTACCCAGACTAGCCGGGGAGAAGGAAGAAATGAGCTGTGCTGGGCTTGCTGTCTGTTACATAAGCAGGCTCCTTCTGAGTGCATGGAAGGAGGCAGCACCCAACCTGTCTTCTCTTTCCACTGGTTGTCCCTCTCCAGATTTCTCTTTTTGTTTTACATTGACTGACTGTCTTCTGTCTCATGATCTGCTTCCAATCTGCTTATTTCCAGGGCAGCAAGTTCTTGGCTTAGTAGAGAACCAGAGTGATTGGTATTTGGGCAACCTTTGGAAGAATCACCGACCTTGGCCAGCGCTTGGGAGGGGCTACAACACAGGTAGGACCTGAGGGTTTTTTTTCAAATTAACGTTTGCATTGAGCATGCAATCCATTTCCTGGTATAGAGAGTATGAGATGTGTTAATTTACACCTCCCTTCCTAAGCTATGGCTAAATCTGTCTTTTAAAACAGCAAAAATTACGCAGTGTCATGCATTTTAGAGTTTCCTATCTTCTTAAAATGGTGTTAGAAAAGATTGTGTAGCATCCTTTGGGGAAGAGCAGAGCTTTTCATCAATCTGACACATCCTCAGCACATCTCCTTCGAGATTTCTGTCCGTGATGACACGTATGTAGGCCCAGCAAGTGGAAGTGAATAGGAATTGAGGCTCATTTTCTGTAGAGAGGTAAATGGTATCACAAAATGTCAGCCCAATAAAGATATAACTCTTGCAGGACAGCAACAGGGTCATAATTGTCCTAATAAAATGCAAGCTACTGGCGATCAATTTTTGCTGCCATGAGAAAGGCATAAAGGCACTAGATCAGAGAATTTATTAGGTTACAAAAGACAGGTCTTCCCACTGATTTGTGTTTGGTATGTGAGAAAACATACCAGGTGCATCAAAAATACACACATACATCTAAATCATTTCGGTGGTAGGCTTTACATGCTGATGCAGTGAGTTAAGTTCCCTCCCTATTTGCAATAAAAGGACAGAACAGATGGTGAAGCCTCCATTTGGAACAGATGAGTCCATTTAAATATCCCTGCACTATCAGAAAATTATTCACCATAATAGTGGTTTTGCTTCACAGAAATATATTGGATTGAATTAAACAGACTAACTAGAAAAAGAATTGCACAAGTTGTGGTTGGGTCATCTGTATTTCTATATTCCTTTGTATATTTGTGGGAATCCCACTAATTTTTGTGAATTTGCATTTCAGTCCCTACAAAGCATCTCTATTCTGTGAAAAGGTTCAAAAGAATAGCCTAACAGAACGTGGATATGGATACAAGATTTTGGCAGAATAGGTTTGTTTGATGGTTCTCCACTTGCCAGAATTGCAAATAGAAAGGCTAGGTCTGCTCACTGCTCTTCCCAGCCCCACAAAAACATGAGACAGAGATAAATTTCATGGATTTGTCCTGAAATCTGAAAGCTTATGTTAGACACAACTGAATTATTTGATATCAATTCTGTTCACTGTTATGCCACAAAATATTATCTTTTGTTCTGCTGAGAGATGACTACCTCATATAGTTACCTTCTTTCTGCTACATTTTTGCTTTCTCATTTCTGCCATTTTAATGCTGATAGATAGAAACATGGCACAACCACATAACATTAGAATAACCCAGAAATATATGGTGGGTCATATCTAAAATGCAATTATGTTTAAAAAAGTGCCATAAGGCTTTAATTTATATCTTCCTAACTTACTGTTCCAAATGGTTTATAGGGATACCACATGCCAGTATATCACATAAATCTTCCACTGGAAAAAAAAAACAAACCTGAGTATCTGCAGTCCTTCACATAGATTACATGTGTTAATTCTTGTATTAATACATACCTACCAGGCCATGCATAATCCAATAATCCTGCCCATGATTTTAGTCTCCTCACAATTGCTTTCTTCACACAGCTCACCTGTAGTTATAAAAACTTTTTTTTATAAAGAAAACCAGAAGGTAGGTAAAGTATGGGAGATTGACAAGTGATCATAAGAAGTGGAATGTTGTTTTTTCAAGTACATAGAACAAGAGGTCACCCAGTGAAACAGTGCAACCTCTGAGAAGTAGGAAATGATGTTATTGACAGAATCAGCAGCCTTTACTAAAATTTCTTGATTGAATTCACTGTTTGCCTCAATAATCTAGGAGAGATTGGAGCTACAAATTTCTCAGGGAAGATGAAACTGGAACTTGTTTGATGAGTTCACTAAATTGAAATAATTGACACTGAACACAACACTGTGGCCAAGGAGGATTCAGAAAACTAAAAGGCAGGGGCAACAGAGGGCACAGAAAAGGGAGGCAATATCTCTGAGCAAAACACTCATGAAACAGTGGGCCAGGAATGGGAAGACATAGAAATTCAGGTGCCTGGAGCTGTACTTAAGAAGAGTAAAAGGGCCCCCAAACCCCTGAAACTTTAATGAGCTAAACAGAGCTGGATCAGGGCGAAGCTCTCAGACAGACTTTGCATTTGCTCTTGGGAGAGTGTTTACTACAGACCTAGGATACAATCCTAAGAAAAGAGATTTTTATGTGAGCCTCTTCAGCCAGACCTAACCCTGGCAGATTTGATGTAGAAGCACCCCTCCAAGTCAAAATTCTTCCACTGCTTCCGCCAAGTTTCTGAAGGAGATAATTTCTGTTTCACTCTTATCTCTCTGTGTCTGAGCCACTCTGGACAACATATATGTTGGGGGAGTCTCAGAAGGCAGATATATTAAAGGCAAAGGTGTGTTTATTCCTTCTCTGCTAGTTCTTTAAACCCAGTAAGCATGTGTATTCTCCTGTTCCTGTGTGCCCAAGCCAGATTTCCTGACACCCAGTACAGATTTTCAAGGAAAGATTTTGTTTCTTTTTTTATTCTTCTTCCTCATTTGCACAGGCAAATAATCCAAGTAATACTTTAGTCCATAATAATGTAATTGTAGGAAAACCAGACCAAACTCAAAGTCAGTTAAGTGACAATTTAATTAGTGTTTAAAATGTTCTTAGTTAGATCCATTCTTTATTTGCGATAACACTCTCTTCCTCAAACCATTTTAATCACAGTTCCTTCCGTACCACAAAAGTAACCACATTTTTTCTGTACTTCACTGGCCAATACTGAGTGAGCTGCTTAATCAAATACTCTTTTTATGTATCATCTACTCCATGTTGCTTGTCTGCACTGAGTTTAACTCTTACAGATTTCTTATACTTTAATTAAAGCACACTTTTCTTGCTATACAACCTATATTATCTTTCACTGACTAAACTGTGCTTTTGAAAGTATTGCCTGAGCCTCATTATGGTTTTTCTCTTTAAAAGTGTTAAACTGACAAGTCCAGAATTGCACTGTATGGTTTGATGTTCATTTCTGGAGTAGCAGTAATCTTACTCCTCAGAAAAGTACATTGTCAAGGAAGTTCTAAACATAGAAGCTTTTAGTACTTTGTCTGCCTTATGGTTTCCATCACGGTGAGGAACAGCTTTTAAAAGCAGTTTCTGGTGACTGTTAGGACTTCAGGCCACTTCTTCAGCTGCTGTGAATCACCCCTGCCTTCTCTGGCTTTAGTGCAGGAGACCCAGCTTCCAGGGGCTGAGAACAGACTCCATACCTGGCAAATGGAGCTTTAGGATGAATACGTGGCTGCAGTTTGGGTGCCAGGGGAACATTTCCAAAAGCTTTGACCCCAGGGATTTCAGAATCCTAGACTACAGAAGCCCATCCTAAGGATTTGAGGCTCATCTGAAATGCACCGGCTCAGTGCAACTACCAGATACCGTAAGGAGGTGTTTCAACAGCTTGAGCTGAGGATTCATACTCCCACACTGAGAAATGTGACATTACCAGACTTGTGGATTGAGAACAGAAGGGAATGGCTAGCACCTAACAATTACTAGGCTACATGTATACCATGGCTTATTACTCCCATGTTTGTAATGACTGGAACAATGCTAGAATGAACTTCCTTCCTTTATTGTTTCCCTGAAAGAAAAGTACACGTGGAAGTTGAATTGGAAGTTGGAAGCGTATGTTATGTCATTTTTGCATAACAATTTTGAATTATAAAAGACAAGCATAGAGCAGACTTTATATGAAGCAAGTCTGGATCAAATCTTGTGCTTCTTCATGATGGTACTGTGCTTCTTCAGTGCAGAAAATAAATTACTAGTGAAGCAGTGCAAAATGGGGTGATGGTAGACATGGAACTGCCTGTGGTCCAGCTCCAGAAGCCTGATAACAGCTTTCAGCTGAGCTCTGCAGGCTTCTGCTCGTGACATTATGATAAATGTTCTCAGGTGAATTGGTTGCTTGAGAGTGGAGATTTTTTTTGCATTGTATCAGTGAATGAAGAAGTTAGAAAACTCATGGTTTATAGAGCCTTGAAATACCCACCACAGGGGCCTGACCAAGCTTAGCCATACCCTTTCTAAAAGCCATTGCAATATTCCTGTCTCCCATTATATAAAACATTAGTCATATTTGGTACAGGAAGTAGTATCATTAAGTTTGGTTGAAAGTACAGAAGCCACTGCAAACAGATGAAAAATGCATTTTAATTATTAAAAAAACATATCCAATGCCAATGTCAAGCCAAAAAGTAGCACTTTCTTCATCTGCTCAGGTTCACACTGTACCAGTTTTTTTCTTAGCTTTTTGTTAGAGTTTTAGAGTTTAGCTTATTCAGTAAATCTTGTTCTTAGTGCAAAGCATCCTGATACATATATGCTTTACAAAATGCAAAGATGTATTTGAAGTACAGGTATCATGCACACAGTACCAGTAGCAGTTTAGGAAGTGCCAGCGTATGGTTGCTTTTAGGCTCAACAGGAAATGTTAGTCTGTTTGTGTCAAAGGTGGTTAGCTAAACTGATAACTCTCCTTTTGATAACTATGTCCCTACCTTTGTTGACTATAATCTGTTGCTTGCACTTAAAAATAAGCTATCTTAAAGCTGACTACCCTTCTACTACTGACTACTGGAAAGAATAGCTTTCTTTCCAGTCTTTCTTATGCACTTTCTAAAGCATGTGATGTAATGAGAACTTGTTTACAGCATGCTTTATATTTCTGCAATGAGTGTCAATATGTATCAGCTTGTGAAAATGGTGCCTCTAGTTTGAGAGGCCTATCCATGTAGTAATGGCATTGCTGTGGCTGGATTAAGTCTGCTGTTCATTGCATTCTCTGAGGTACATCCTTTACTCCTCAGCAATTGAATCTATCAGCCCTTGTAATAGCTGTCTTTTTTCAAAATACACCACCTGACTCTTTGAAACAGTGAAAACATTCATCTCTTAAGAAACCTGTGATTAAAAAAAAAAAAAAAG